AGGCAATGGGAGCAGCAGCAACGACTCTGGCTGAAGCAAAAGCAGCAACGAGGATGATCCGGAATGGAGTGGGGAAGAAGAGGAGCAGAGTGGGGATATGGAGGTGCAGGCTGGCGATGGGCAACAGATGGTGGTGGCTGAGGATGACGTAGCGGCAGTGGTGGCTGATGATGGGCAAGAGATGGTGGTGGCTGAGGATGACCTAGCGATGGTGCTACCTGAAGATGGCCTCGCAAAGGTGGTGGTGCCTGACAATGACCTCGCGATGGTGGTGGCACCGGCGATCCCATAGCCGGGCGACATGACCATGCCAATTGTGGTAGAAGACTGCATCCCACTGCCTCCACCGCCTCGCCGCTCTTGGCGCATCAGGATGGGGAAGGAGAAGGAGAAGAAGAATGAGGAGTGAACTATGTCAGGTATGTCAGATCTCCAGAATGATCTATATATACTTAGCTTTGTTTCCTCCGAAATAACATAAGTTAGCTCTAATATGCTAAGTTATCTCTAATATGCTTAGTTTCCTTGGTTTTCTCAATAATGACATATACACTTGGCTTACTTGTGTAAAAAATGGCATAATTATGCTTAGTTAACTCAAAAATGGCATAATTAGTTAAGTTAGCTCCAAAATGACCCATTTAACCTCGGTTAGCTCCAATATGATCCATTTTACCTAGGTTAGCTCCAAAATGACCAAGTTTACCTAGGTTAGCTCCAATTTGATCCATTTTAGCTAGGTTAGCTCCAAAATGACCTACTTTACCTAGGTTAGCTCCAAAATGACCAAGTTCACCTAGGTTAGCTCCGATATGATCCATTTTAGCTAGGTTAGCTCCAAAATGATCAAGTTTACCTAGGTTAGCTTCAATATGATCCATTTGAGCTAGGTTAGCTCCAAAATGACCAAGTTTACCTAGGTTAGCTCCAATTTGATCCATTTTAGCTAGGTTAGCTCCAAAATGACCTACTTTACCTAGGTTAGCTCCAAAATGACCAAGTTTACCTAGGTTAGCTCCAATATGATCCATTTTAGCTAGGTTAGCTCCAAAATGATCAAGTTTACCTAGGTTAGCTCCAATATGATCCATTTGAGCTAGGTTAGCTCCAAAATGACCTAATTTACCTAGGTTAGCTCCAATATGATCCATTTTAGCTAAGTATATGCTTACTTCTTATTCCAGTCTTCTTCTTCTTCTTCATTTTCTTCTTCTTCATGTTCTTCTTCTAACTTTCTTGTTTCCCATTTTGTAGATCTCATTTAATTCATGGAAGCTTGCATGGATGGAGTGCTTCTTTTCCCTTTCTGCTTTTATTTTGTATCGATGAACTTGCATGGATGGAACTTGTTATATGGATGGATGGATAACGGTGTTGGATGAACAATGTGAAACTTTTGTAATATGTATGGATGGAACTATGTACGTGTTGATTATGTATGTGTATATATGATGAAACTTGTGTGTTGGATACTTCTTTTGTGAAATTTGTGTGTTGAAACTTGCATTGTGTGTTCAAATTGAATGAATTAAAAAAAACAGAAAAAACTGGGGCTATACAGAATCTTTGCCGTCCGCCAGCGGACGGCAAAGCATTTTGCCATCAGCCAGCGAACGGCAAAGATGCCACGTGGCAGCTCCCTGTTCAACCCGGGGCTGTCCTATTTGGTTACTTTGCCATCCGCTAGCTGACGGCAAAGCTCACCGTTAGCCCCCTAATGGTCGGACGTTGTCATGTGTGCCGTCCAGGACCGTTGCCGTCAGCCGGCTGACGGCAAAGATCGTTTCATCTTTGGCGTCCGCCAGCTGAAGGCAAAGAAGCCTTTGCCGTAGCCCATTCAGCCGGACCTGTTGCCGTCAGCTGACGGACGGCAAAGGTCTTTGCCGTCCACGTTGTATTCCGCGGATGGCAAAGAAGCTGATTCCAGTAGTGATAGTCCTTGAGGGTTTGCTTCATCCATAGCAATTGAGCATAGCAGGATCCAGCAACAATGTACTCAGCTTCAGCAGTAGAGAGTGATACGCAGTTCTACTTCTTCGAGGACCAACATACCAAGGATCGTCCGAGGAAATGACATGTGCCTGATGTTGACTTGCGGTCCACCCGATCACCAGCATAGTCAGAGTCAAAATATCCAATGAGATCAAAGAAAGAGCCCTTGGGATACCATAATCCAGAATATGCTTCACAGCCTTATGGTGTGATTCCATAGGTGTAGCTTGAAATCGGGCACACATGCAAACACTAAGCATAATATCCGACCTAGATGCACATAGGTACAATAAAGAGCCAATCATGAAGCGGTATACCTTTTGATCGAAGTCTTTAACATTTTCATCGGTGCGTAGATGGCCATTTGTGGGCATAGGGATTTTGACGCCTTTGCAATCTTGCATGCCGAATTTCCTCAACACATCCTTGAGGTATTTCTCCTGAGATATGAATATGCCAGCTGACGGCAAAGCTCACCGTTAGCCCCCTAACGGCCGGACTTGTCACGTGTGCCGTCCAGGACCATTGCCGTCAGCCGGCTGACGGCAAAGATCATTTCATCTTTGCCATCCGCCAGCTGACGGCAAAGAAGCCTTTGCCGTAGCTCATTCAGCCGGACCTATTGCCGTCAGCTGACGGATGGCAAAGAAGCTGATTCCAGTAGTGTAGTCGGGATACCTGAGCAACTCTTGATGATTATGCTGGGCGGAGCCAGGTACATAACACATTCTACTCTAAGTAGACTTCGTGCTATGCACACCACTACTCTAGTCTCCCCCGACAGGTTGTGACTAAGGTAATTAGGGGTTCCACTATGGACGCGGCCGCTCTAAGGGTTCCCCATTAATCCCTATAAATTGCAAAGATTTGGAGTAAAGGCTTTTACTGTCACCTTGAAATACCTTCACTTCCTACCCCTTACAACGAATGTGATACACTTCGTGGCCTTTCATAGATCTGCCAGTGGTACCGGGGCATGGCAATGCCGCTGCCGTGGGGCGACGCACATCTCCCGAACGGCTGGCACCTAAGCCTAGATGGCAAGGTTGAAAAAAGCGGTAGGCGTAAGCGAGGTGGCTGGCCTTCGCCTAGTGCCTAGGCGGTGCTTAAGCGCTCTAGGCGCAGCCTAGGCGGTAATATAGATTCTACTATCAAGGTGTATTTGTGGTTATTATATGTGTACTGATGTTAATTTAGGGCAGATAAATATGTTAACTACCAGCTGCTGCCATTTGAATATGTGATGTTTGGCAGTTCAGTGCAATATGGCATGATTTCTTGCTTGGGTAAATAATTTTTTGCATGCACTGCCTAGACTACCATTTATGCCCTAGGCGAGGCGTCTGGCCATCGCCTAGCGCCTAGGCATGCCTAATAGCCTCCTAGGCACTGCCTTTTGTAACAGAGAGATCAGGTGCCGTGCCTCCTGCCCCGGCGAGCGGCCGCACCCGCCTGCTCGAGATCAACCGCCACCGCGCCCGCCTTCTTTCGGACCTCCTCAACAACTCCAGGTACACCGAGGACTCCCCTCTTTGAGACACATTGTTCCATGACGAGCACGATCTACGTCGACAAACCTTTTTTGTCATTCGTGCTTCGAGCCCGCCATGGGCGTGCTCTGCTAGTCGCACATGTGGTCCTAGCCCGCCCCGGTCGTGTGGCCGTGTGCGGGTGCACGGTCTAACACCGACTCCCTCCCCGTTCTCGTTCCCACCACCATCACCTCCTACCATGACCGTAGAGGAGGAGGAGGAGCTTGTGAGGAGGGTGATGGAGAACTCCGTGAGGGAGCACAACCGCGCTGAGCGGTAGGGCCTCGACGATGCTGACCTTGTCGTCCGCCGGCAACGTCGCCACGCCAAGGCTAGAGGTTAAGGAGAAGGTGTTGGAAGAGCCTCCCATCGCGGCCTGGAACCCGTCTTGGTGTGAAAGTCATGTACGTGGACGTCCACGGCGCCGGACATGGCCTCGTGTTTGGGTGTCGAGCAATGGTCACCCTCACCGCAACGGCCACGAGTGCTGCAGGAGCCGCCCACTCATCCCTTAGCAGCCGCTGCAGGGGCTCTCGCCCACCTTTGTCTGCCACTGCAGTACATCGACTGCGCCATGGAAAGACAACGACAAGTAGGACAACGGCGACTAAAGACGGGCAGCATGGTGGCGATGGACAACCCGATCTAGGTTTTTGTTTTTAATTTCAAGTTTGTTTTCAACGTTTGACCGTGACTTTGGGGACGTTTAAGTTATATATAGGTTTAAATTATTTGCAATGTTTTTTTTAAATTTAAGTTGAAATGTGAATAAAGTTTTGAGATGCGGCAGCTGCTCATCTGGCAGATGATGCAAATGGACCCGCATCATGTCTGTTTTACCGACGCAAACAAATGAAATCCGGATAGAATGGACGTTTGAGGCCCCTCCCAATGCTCCACCTTGTACAGGTGCTAAGGCCGCCATGTAGGCAAAAAGTCTAATGTGGCAAGGTAATTAAGAGGAGAGAGGTGAGTGCGGTGACCCAGGAAGAAACAATGCTAAGCGCGAGAACCTAGTCAAAAGACTTAAATGAAAAACTTTAGTTGCAAAACCATTAAATGAAGGATGCTTAGCACCAACAAGTTAAGTATCAATGCATTGCATTGGAAGTAGGCTGAGTAGGTGAGCTGGAGTCATCCTTGTGGTGCCTACCTGCATTGAAGAGTTAAAATGACAGAATAAAAGAAAAAGTGAGCCAGCCCAGAGGTGGTATTATTTCTCACGACACTGGTCTTCTTTTATTCAGCCGCAGCCAGATCCACCACTGTCCCCTCCCCCAGATCCCTAAATCCCGCCGCCGCCGCCAGCGCCGCCGGCCATAACATCCCCTCGCCGTCCTCCCTCGATCCCCAGACGCCGCCTCGTCCTCGCCCTCGCTCTCGCTCTCGCCCCCTCCCCTACCATAGCAGCGGCAGCTCGCAGCCTCCTAGCGCCGGCTGTACCGCTCCGACCTCAGTGCCGCCGGCCCGCGAGCCATGGATCTGGCGACGGGGGCCATGGGCAGCCTCCTCCTCAAGCTCGGCGGCCTCCTTACGGACGAGTACAAGCTGCAGGCCGGAGTCAAGGAAGACGTACAGTACCTCAAGAGAGAGCTGACAAGCATGTACGCCGCCCTCCGCAAGGTCGGGGACGTGCCGCGGGACGAGCTCGACGTGCAAGTCCAGCTCTGGGCCGACGACGTCAGGGACCTCTCATACAGAATGGAGGACGTCGTCGACAAGTTCCTGGTGCGCGTCGAGGGCCCCAAGGCTTCTTCCGCTGCCGCCGACAAACCACGCAAGCTCAAACGGCTCATGGAGAAGATGGGCGACCTGTTCACCAAGGGCAGGACTCGCCACCAGATCGCCGACGAGGTCAAGGGCATCAAGGCCCGAGTCCAGGAGGCAGCTGACCGGCGTGATAGGTACAAGGTCCATGATGTGGTTGCTAGTCCAGCAGGCTCAGCAACGGTTGACCCTCGCCTGATGTCTCTGTATAAAGATCGGAAAGAACTGGTTGGCATCGATGAGCCGTTGAGCAACCTAACTGAGATGCTGACTGAGGGGGATACTGATGTGTCCAGGCAACTTAAGATAGTTTCTATTGTTGGATTCGGAGGTCTTGGCAAGACTAGTCTTGCTAAAGCAGTGTATGATAAGCTCCAATGGCAATTCGATTGCAGCGCTTTTGTTCCGGTGGGACTGAAATCTAGCGTGAAGAAACTTCTCAATGACATTCTTTTTGAAATCGACAAGCAAAAGCATCAGGATTCTATTTTATCTTCATGGGACGAAAGGCAGCTCATCGACCAACTCAGAAGATCACTGGCGACCAAGAGGTATGCACCCTATTACTCCAATCCAGTTTTAAAACGAGAAATTTTAATTAAACAGAACAAGGGGACGGCCACATGATTTCTCTCCTGCAACTATCATTTCACTATTTCTTTATTGGATAATGCCTATTTTACATTAGGTAGTTGTCATGCAAATGCATCCCCTTTTTTCCCTGGATATTTTAGATGCTTAATTAGGCGCCTTACCAAATAGTTTCACTAATTAATTACGGTTGTTGCATTTCGGATGCGGGCAGGTACTTCATCGTGATTGATGATATGTGGGATACAGAAGCGTGGGAAATAATCAGATGTGCTCTTGTTGATAATAATTGTGCAAGCAGGATAGTCACAACTACTCGTATTCTCGAGGTTGCGACAAAAACCGGTGAAGTATACAAGCTAAAACCACTTTCTCATGATTTAGCTGAGGAACTATTTCATACAAGACTGTTTGGTGGCAAAAACAAAGGCGCTTGTCATCAGCCAGCAGAGGTATACGAGAAAATGTTGCGTAAATGTGGTGGTGCACCGTTGGCTATAATCACAATGGCTAGCTTGCTTGTTGGTAAACCAGTGGAGTTTTGGTCTAAGGTGTACAACTCAATTGGTTTTGGAAATGAAGATAACAAAGATGTCCACAACACGAGGAAGATACTTTTATTTAGCTACTATGATCTTCCTTGCTATCTAAGGACTTGCTTATTGTATATGAGCATATATCCAGAAGAACATCTAATCGAGAAAGATAGTCTGATATGGAAGTGGGTTGCCGAGGGTTTTATTCATGAGGAAGCAGGGGTAGGATTATATGAGATTGGTGAAAGATATTTCAACGAGCTGATAAATAAAAGCATGATACAACCGGTAGATTCCCACCCGTATGATCGCACCATTACAGGTTACTACGACATCATTACGGGTTGCCGTATTCATGATATGGTTCTTGACATGATCTGTCGGTTAGCAAAGGAAGAAAACTTTGTCACTGCATTGTACAATAATGAGCAACAAGCATATACAGTACATGACAATGTCCGTAGGTTAGCTGTTGGAGACAAAAACTGTCTGGCTAACACATGTATGCCACAAGTAAGGTCATTTAATGTCTTGAGTACCGATGTTAAGCTGCCATCGCTTTCATGCTTTCAAGTTTTACGTGTCCTAGCTCTAGAAGGTGATACCTCTTCTGAACATGACACTACTTGCCTTGAGCATCTTGGAAAGTTAGTTCACTTGAGGTATCTTGGACTAAGGAATATAAATATCAGTGAGCTCCCAAAGGAAATAGGAGATCTAAAATTCTTACAGATGTTGGAGATGAAGGATTGCAACAAACTACTGAAACTGCCACAGAGTATTGGTCAATTAAGTCAACTCAAGTGCCTGCGTGTTTACGCGGACCGGTTTTCGATGCTGCAATGTCTGGAAGACACAGCACTAGACTGGATCAGAAACCTGACATCTCTGGAAGAGTTATGCTTATTGAACGTCAGTGAGTCCTCAAACTTTGTGAATGATCTCGGAAAGCTGACAGAGTTGAGGAAGCTTTGCATTGTATCTTTACGGTTGAAGAGTGCGAGCTTGATAAAAGATTGGGAGGAGTCTCTAGCCAAACTGCAGAAAATTCAGGTCATAGACATTGGTTGGTTTATATATAAAGAAGAAGGTGATGCCACCTACTGCCGAGAAGGCTATGTCCCCCCTCGCCAACTCCGTGTTCTGCATATGCAGTACAAACAACCTGGGCTGCCTATAAAGATTAGTCCATCTCTTCAACCAAACCTCTCCCACTTATCATTACAAGTGAATGCTCTAGAGGTGGAGATCTTTGGAAGGTTCCCAGAGCTCGTTACTCTCCAGCTGGATGTGAATACTTATCACTATGATGTCACGGGAGCTCCAGGTGCATTCCCCAAGTTGAGAGCTTTCAAGACGGATGGAACGCCCCGTTTCCTTGGAGTAATGCCAAACCTTGAATATCTCGAGTTCGTCGTCTCAGTTATGGACCTCAACACTAAACCTGACTTTGGTAGCTTGGTGAATCTCCCTATGCTTCGGAGAGTCGTAATTCTAGTATGGTACAACTTCAATGAATTCGATTCAGAGAAGGCTAAGGATGTGGTGAGGGAGGCAATCTTTTCCGGCCCCAGTGGTTTCACATTTGAACTGAAGACGTACTAAGCAAGATAGCTTGGGGTAAGTACCTCTTCTCCATGGGAAGCACATGGTTATTTCTGTCTCAGGCTGAACTAATGTGTAATATCTTCTCTCTCTCTCTCTCTCTCTCTCTCTCTAGATATATACGTTCTGTGACCATTATTCCTTCATATATGTAGGTTGGCAGTGTTAGCAAATCATCGCAAAGAAGAAAAAAAAGGCCGCAAGCGACTTGTGCAGCAAATGTTAGCAGCTGGAATATCACATAGCTAGTCATTGGCTCACCGAAAAAACCAAAAAAAGTTTCCTTTTTTAGTTGTAGTATTTTAGTGCCATGTTGCCTTATTCACTCTCGAGAAAAAAAAGTTCTACAAAAAAAAGGTTTCAAATACACGAAGGGATGTTTCATCCTTAACTATGTCGCTTGGCTATCTATTTGAAAAAATCCTAGTTTTTGCCCCAAAAGACACATATAATATATATGTTGTCTTCTGTAGGAAGGAAAAAAAAAGGAAAACAACAAAAAAATGTCTATTTTCTTTACAGCAAAGGAAAAAAGAAAACCATAAAACAAAGTCTGTTCACTTTGTGGCTTGCGTGGTGTTTTGCTTACTTGTTTATTCATGAAAAGAAAAGCACAAAAAAAGGTCTTGGAGTCTTGCAACCATTTGCTTTGTGTGTATGTGCATGTGTGTCTTGTTCTTTGGTTTTGGGGGGTTCGATGTTTATAGAGGGGGGCGGGGGTGTAACTCCGCCTATGTTAACATGATGTTATGCTTCATGTTGCATAGCCGGTCCCAAGCCCGGAAAAGGAGGAGGGGCCAAACTCTACTTATTATGAAATGGTGTGACCCTTTTTTGTAGCCTTTGCTCTTTATTTTCTTAATCAGGTATGTAACATTCTAGTTTGGTATATAAAGTTCTGCAAGTTTGTCTACTTTGGAAACTCTTAAGGGCTTATTTATAAATGAATCATTCCCCAAGGAATGAGTATGGGCATATTTTCTTTGTAGGTTTTCTCTACCACACAAAAATTGTTCATATCTTGGAGAGAGCATCTCAACCGGGCAAATTTTTGGTATGTGCAGTACTCTCAGGGGAAAAAACCTTGTATCGTCATCTACTCCCTCCGTTCGGAATTACTTGTCGCACAAATGGATGTATCTAGACGTATTTTAGTTCTAAATACATCATTTCCGAGACAAGTAATTCTGAACGGAGGGAGTAGAAAATTAACTTTATGATCATTTCTCCCTCCAAAAGGCTTTATGAGAGGTTAGCTGCAAGCTACATATTTCATCTTGCAATTGCCTCCTTTCTTTGCAGAACCAGAGCATGCATGCATGCCGCAGGTTTCAGTTCCCTCCTTTCCAGGCACTACTTCTATGGAAGTGGAATGAAATGTGTATGTTGCTTCCTTCTCCGGCCCTCTGGCTGCCTTTCCTTTTTTCCTTTTGAGTTTCATTTCCATTATGGTTATTTTTTTTTTCAAGTGTGCAGTTATAGATGTAATCCAGTTTGCCGATGCGAACTGGTTGCCATACCCAGCTCAGAGATCTAATAGGCAAAAAAACTCTCAGGTATGCCATGTTCACTTTCATCAGAGATACATGCGGGCAGTTTATGTACGAGACTTATGCACCAGAAACAGTCTGACAGCCAACTGTCCATAGCTCCCATCCCAGTGCAGCTCGATTTACAACTTCTTTTGGACTATGAGCATATCTCGCCAGCAGAGTTGTAGGAACCAAGTAAAGAGTAAAGGTTCTGTGACGCAGAATGCTCCTGAAAGTGGAAGGGCTTGTCTGGGGAGAGTTCTAGTAACCAAGTAAAGGGATCCTGTTAAGGAGGATCATCCTGTAACTCCTGGCTTGTCTAACAGTTATGATTCACATTCTGCAGGGTGATGAAAACTGGTTGCAAATTGAGTTTCATTCCTACAGCAGAACGATGGTATAGTAAAATGTGATGGCTGATAGGAGTTTCTGCTGATTTTGGTGGGCACCGGAGAAGTTGAAGGAAAAAATACTCTTTTAAGTTCCTAAAAAGGATGAGAAAAACACTTCTGAATTTCTCCTGTCACCTTTTAGGCTGTGATCATTGCTGTGGCCTCACTATGTCCCCGCGGTGACCTCCTCTTCAGCACTGTCACAGATGTGCAATACAAACTCTGTTTGAACGAGGTTTGGAATGCTGACACAGTAGGTACAGTCAGAAGGCATCCACACAAAATTCCAGCAGCTGGCTAGCCATGCTCATCATATTCTGTAACAAAAAGATAGGGATGTGTAAAGAGCAGTTGAGGTACAAGAAATTTCATATGAATATGACAACTTGTGTCTGGTGTACTCTGGTTGTGGTCGTCATGAAACCACTAATTGAGAGTTTGATTTCCTTGTAGATTGAAATGCCTATCGAAAATCTTTAGAACAAATGCCTATGGACAAAGCTGTGGAGACGCTGCTGCGGTTGGGTCTGGCGATTGAGCTGCCAACCAATGACAGGACAGCATGTCCTCTGTAATAGTTCTTCCATGTTCAAATGCATACGAGATTCTCAAAAGCCGTCGGAAATTCTTAGCATAGCTCTCAGCAGAGTTGTAGTAATAACTAAGTAAAGAGTAAAACATTTTTATGGGGAGATTTATGCTGTATGTTTTGCATGGTGATGAAACTTGTAAATTTAAAATTGGCATGCTACGGATTGACGGTATAGTCAAGTGTAGTGTGATATCTCATAGGAGGAGCCACTGCTTATTTTGCGTGATCTCTCCAAGGTGTACACTTATAATCCTGTGCTGCTGCCATCTTAGTAGCACTTGCTCCTGTCATTTCGGGCGATCAGTAACATGTTGCTACTTGAGACGATAACCGGCCAACTGATGCGCATGTCCTGTCCCTCTTGTTCTTCTCGTGCTGCTTGTGAGGCTTACCATATAGCGATGGTCTTCCCTTGACGTGCGCCTTCCCAAGCGCCAGCAGGGCGATGCATGCATGCAATGCAAGGGACACGGCGGCGGTGATACTAACCCCGAAGAGGACACCATGCATGTATGATAGCAGGGCCATGAGCCCATGACCATGTGAAGCCGAGCTTTCTGCCGCCTCCCAAGCTGCAGCCAGTAGTGGCCGGCCCGCTCGTCGTCCCCGTCCACGTCTCAGATTGGCGATCTGTTATCGACAGGGAAATGATATGTTACATTCGAATTTTGAAGTTCGGAGTGTAAGTTTTTTTTTTTTTGTGTGTGTGTGTAACGATCAGTAAGAACAGTGTGAAAATTTAGAGAAAGAGAGACAAGTGTGTTAGTGCTATATTGTGGAAGATAAGAGGAAGTCCACCGATAAGGTTGGCTATGCGCAAGATGAATATTTCCACTGCAAGTCAACCCTAGCTTGTAGCTACGGATCCAACACTTATAGATCAAGCTGCGAGACTTATAGCTCAGGGACGGGATGGCGCCATGGCAGGAACCTCAAGATATTGACAGTTTTACTGTTCGTTTCTGAAGAAAAACGCTTCGCTCCTGCTGTCAGATGTTGATCGAACGACTGCATACTGACTGCTTCGCTCAGGAGACGAAAACTGAGATGAAAACTGAGATGAAGACGAAAACTGAGACGGAAACTGTATCTGTGGTTTTCAACCACAAGCTAACCGACTTGATTGCTAATTTGGTATGGATTATTTTCACGCATTCACGGCTGAATTCTTCTTCGTCTCTAGTTACTGCTCATCTTGATACTAGCTACTTGGTGGCTAGTGTGTGTGCCAGCCAGTAACATAAGCACAGCCAGTAACGAACAGCATAACAACAAGAGGGACATGACATGCAGCATATCAGTCCCTCATCGGCCTCTTGGCTTGTTCCTGAGCGTGAAGTCAGAGCTACAACGTCGCGGGGTGGCATGCTCAGGCTCTGTTGGTTCCAGGCATGCCCCTTTTCTCTTGCGAGGCTTGTTATCCAAGTCGGAACTGCCTAGTACTGGATGTGTTGTGGTTGATTGTTTGGCATACACCGTAGGATTCTCGTGCTTCGTCCGGTCTAAGGGTTCTTGATTGGTCGTCTGTGTTGAACCCAGGGTCACTTCTCTGAGAGCAGTGATAATGATGACGCTTCGCAGGCATTGTCGATGGTGTTCCCCTTTTCGGTGGGGTGTGCGGGTCGTGTGGATAGCTAGGTTGGCCGGGTACCTTACCTTGTGAGCATGATGTGATGGTTTTCGCCTGGTTTTCCGCTACTTAACCGGGTAACCCTCTTCTTTCTTTTTTGAACTTGGACATTTCATTCCATTAATCAACGTACCGAGCAAGGTGGCTGGCAACAGAACACTGGGCAAAGGTAGGGACATGACCTTCTTCTTTATTAATAAATCTAGATCTTTGGGGCCAACTTGAAAAACAAGATACAAGTGCATGTTAGATCGGTTGGATGCTACGGTTGTTTGTGAGATTCATTTCCATTGTTGATGATGGTGGCTCCGTTTCCATTATTGATAACTAGCCGAACGCAGAAAATAATTGAGGTACTGGTTGTCTTAGATTCTTTCAAGGAAGTGATTGGCTTAGTTGGACATGTACAATGTTTTAAATAGCGGGTTATGCCAAATAGCAGCAGTCCTCCAAATCAGCTATAGCGGGCTAATAGCTGGCTATTAGCGGACTATTGTACATGAGCACCATTTTAGCGGCACCCTGCTCAAAAAGCTATAGCGGGGCTGTAGACGGCTATTTAAAACATTGCGTGTAACGCAAGTGACCAATGGGTATACTTATAGGACCACATTAGGGGATCATGTTTGCATGGAACGATACTAGAGGACACATGGATTATTTGCAAATGATCTTGAAGAAATAGCAGGAGCTCAGTTTGCTACACAACTATTTCTTTATATGTAACTAACTGCCAACCAGTAACTACTAATCACACATTGTACACCAGTACAAAACATGAGGGCAATACAGAAAACAAACTAGCACCATACAGACTAAGTTATGTATCACCGACAATTTCTACATAATAAAATGGAAGAGAAAACAATGTGCTAATTAAATGAGAATTCATGACCAAGGTTTTGGTTACCGAATGGGACATTTTTTTCCGACGGGGACCGGTAAACGTGGTTACCATGGTTACCACAAAATTTCAAGCAAATTTCGAACGAAATTTATAATTCAATTTTGGATTCAATTTTCTTCAAAATAGGTATAGATAGCACTTAAACTTATATTTATCATAAAAGAGCTACTAGCTCAGTGGAATGTTGTCTACGCGAGTGTTGTGAGGTGTTACCATACTTTACTGTACATTGAGCGTTTGAATTCAACAAATTCAAAAAATGTGATTCTTTTTTCTCGAAATGGCCATTTACCGAGGGGGGCCGAAATATGTGGTAACCACGGTAAATCTTGAAATTTCGAGCGCTAACCAAAACCCTGTTCATGACCAACAAGCAGGGATGATAATGTCAACATGGAGATAATCAAGATCGTTAGCAGGTCGTTCAGCTCTTGACAACACCTTGGCCACCTGCTGCATTGTTGGACGGTGTGATGGATTCGGTTCTATGCACTGAACCGCGACCGTGACCACTTTGAATATTTCACTTGTGATCTCAACTTCAGGGGGTGGAAGCCGTGTGTCCAACAAATTCTCAAGTAATGTGCTTCTCTTGTCCATAGATGAAAGATAATCACGTGGATGATGTCCCATAAACAACTCTAGAATGAGCACTCCAAAACTATAAACATCACACTTCTCTGTCACCCTTGTTGTGTATGCAAGATCTGAAGAATCATCAACATTGGAGAGTTAATCTTGATAGTATACAGTACTGCAATACACGTTTAATTAACGCACACGAACTTAACTTCAGCATTTCTTTGGAGTAGAAAATGAAAAACAACCCTTAACAGATTGGATGGGATGCATGTGAGATCCACTTGTATATATAGCTAGCTATTTGAACTTTGGAGACGGAATGTGTAGAACTGTATTAAAAATACTGTCATGTAACAAAAGGCATAGCTTCCAACTATTTAAAGTGCCAATGTCGCATCAATATTATATGAATCGTATAAACTGATAAGCTAATGTCTGCTGCAGATTTAAACATGTAGTCCATGAGGAGAGGATGGAAAAAAGCAATATAGAAAATATATAGTGGTGTGGGGTGCACAAGGTTGATAACTAGTGTAGTGCATGCTAATGTACATTGTATAAATTATAGACAAATGGGGAGAGAGCTATTTCTTCAACATGATAAGTTTATTGATGTAACCAACACAGAGTTATAAGTTTACCTGGAGCAAGATATCCTTTTGTACCAGCAAGACTTGTGTAGTTCGATGCTTCCACGTCTAGTATTTTTGCTAGACCAAAATCCGAGATGCACGCTTTAAATTCCAAATCAAGCAAAATGTTGTTGCTTGTTACATCTCTATGGACTATCGGCACGAAACAATCATGATGTATGTAAGACAAAGCATGAGTAACATCACAAACAATATTTAACCTCCTCGTCCAATCCAATTCAATTGCAGTTTCCTTGCCCTTCAAAGTTGCTGCTAAGCTACCTCTATCCATGTACTCATACACAAGGAATCTTCCCTGAGTTGCAGAGCAGTAACCAAACAACTTTGCAATGTTGCGATGTCGAACATGCATCAAGGCTTGTATTTCTTGGTTAAATTGCACATCATCTTCCGTCATATGGATCTTTTTCACTGCAAATAATTCACCAGTTGGTAACTGAGCTCTATAGACAGATCCATTCCCTCCCGTTCCAATGCAATGAGAGCTGCTGAAATTTTTTGTGGCATCAACAATTTTATTGTACACATCTTCCCCATCAAAATTCCAGACGGAGAACATGTTGGTTTGTTGTACTTCATTTGCAGTTCCTGTCCTTGGTTTTTTCTTTTTGCATTGCCATGTTACTACTGCAGTCATAAACACAAAAGATACAACAATTGGTATAATAGCTAGTAAAATAGCCCCAGACTTTTTTCCTTGTTCACTACTTCGAGGAAGATCACAAGTGGGCAAACCTTTCACAACACCACACAATTTCTTATTATGCCGGAACCATTTGATTGGAGCTTTTTCGAAGAACCTAGTATGTGGCAATGGTCCTTCCAATTTGTTGTATGACACATCCATGGATAGGAGACTTGTCATGCTTTGAAATGATGGTGGAATGCTGTCATTCAGTGCATTGTGAGAAAGATTCAAGGCTTCAAGCATACCGAGACTTCCTAACACACTTGGAATATTGCCATCAATTGAATTGTCACTGAGATCCAACAGATCTTGTAGGTTTACCAACATTCCTAGTTCAATAGGAATTATACCATTGAGGTGATTATGGCTCAACTTTAGAAAGTGAATCTTTTGGCAGTGTCCAATTGAGTCTGGTATCTGCCCAGTTAGGTTGTTTGATGATAAATCTAGATACTCCAAGTTGTTCATTGATCCAATTTCGTGTGGCATATTTCCCCGCAGTAAGTTGCCGGAAAGGCTCAAATTGAACAACATCATTACATTACCAATTTCCGGTGGAATCTGTCCTTCAAGCTTGTTTGATGAAACATCAAGTATCCCTAGCATAGATAATTTACCTATGCTTGATGGTATTACTCCAGTTATATGATTGTTTGAGGCACGTAGCACAGTAAGTTTGTAGCACTCACCCCAAATATGAGATAATTGGCCAAATAGTTTATTCGAACTGATATCAATATAGACAAGATTTGGATAAGATCCCATCCCGGTGATATCTCCTTCAAGGTAATTCCGTTCAAGTCGAACCCTAACTAGGCTTGTACAATTTAGCAAGCTTGATGGAAATGGTCCAACCAAGTTGTTACCAACAACGACTAAATTTTGTAGCCGACCTCCCACACAAAGTCCAGATGGCAAGGAACCGGAGAGGTTGTTGAAAGCAAGGTCCAACTTAACCAAACTCATTAACTTGCCAATTTCTTGAGGTATAGACCCTGAAAGTTGTTTGCGATAAAGGTACACGAGAGTGAGTTTTGTCAAATTCCCTATGGTGATTGGGATAGAACCTGTGAGTGTGTTTTCTTGAAGTGCCAAATTCTCTAAGTTCACAAGGTAACCCAATTCTCATGGAATTTGACCAGAAAGTTTGTTTTTCCAAAGGCGCAAGAAAGTGAGTTTGGTCGAATTACACAAATTTCTTGGAATGGAACCTGAGAGTGTGTTGTTGCTAAGATCCAAGCCCTCTAAGTTCACAAGGTAACCTAATTCTGGTGGAATTGGTCCAGAAAGTCGGTTCTGGAAAATTTGCAAGGTTTTGAGTCTTATCAAATTTCCCAAGCTGTCTGGGATGGAACCTGAGAGTGTGTTTTGGCTAAGATCCAAGACCTGTAAGTTCACATGGTAACCTAGTTCTCGTGGAATTTTACCAGAAAGTTGGTTCTGAAAAAGGGACAAATAAGTGAGTTTTGTCAAGTTCGCTATAATTATTGGGATAGAGCCCGAGAGTGTGTTGTTGCTAAGATCCAAGTTCTCTAAGTTCACAAGGTAACCTAATTCTCTTGGAATTTGGCCGGAGAGTCTGTTGACCCAAAGACGTAAGATAGTGAGCTCAGTTAAATTACCTAAATTTCTTGGAATGGAACCTGAGAGTGTGTTGTTGCTAAGGTCTAAGTCCTCTAAGATAACCAGGTAACTTAGTTCCCGTGGAATTTGCCCAGAAAGCAGGTTCTGAAAAAGATGCAAGGTGGTGAGTTTTGTCAAATTTCCTAAGCTGTTTGGGATGGAACCTGAAAGTGTGTTTTCACTAAGATCAAAATCTTCTAAGTTTACCAAATAACCTAATTCTCTTGGAATATTGCCTGAAAGATTATTTTCAAAGAGGTTCAAGGTGGTGAGTTTTGTTAGACCACCTATGTTGCTTGGGATTGAGCCGGAAAGATTGTTACTAGACAAATCTAATGTAACTAAGTGCCTTAGGTGGCCTATTTCAGAAGGGATGTGACCAGCTAAGTGATTGATTGACAAATTGAGGGTCACAAGATTACTGCTCATTTTGCCAAGGTGAACTGACCCTCTTATCTGGTTGCCTTGCAGGAGAAGAGCTTGGAGCTCTCTGAGGACCCCAATGCCAGGAGGGAAGGCCCCGGCAAGGTAGTTGTGCGAGAGGTCAAGGCACGTCAAGGTTGTGAGGGCCGAGAAGTTGAGGGACTCTAGCGTCCCTCTCGGCCGCATCCCCCTTAGAGAGATGCCGCTGATCGCCGTCTGGCGCCAGCGTTGGTGCGCTGTGCACCTGACTCCGAGCCAGCTGCAGGGCGCGGACATGTTCTCCCAAGACCGTAGGGCGTGCTGGCTTTGGTTGCTGAGGCTGGCTTTCCAGACGAGGAGTGCCCTCGCTTGTTCTCCGGGCACCGGCGCGAGCGCCGTCGCCAGCAGCAACAGTACGGTGAGAGAAGCGAGCACTTTGGGTGGCTCCGTCTCCATGACGAGGATTTTGGCTGGATGGAAATGGCTCTGATGGTTGTGTCTTGTGTGGGCGTTGGTGAGAGCGTGCAGCACGTCTATTTAATATTTAGAGCTTGCAGTAGGCTAAGTGGACGGGGTAGGTAAAATGCTCGGAGTATGCGGCTGTATCTTGTGGAGAAATATATCTTCTCAGTTCCCACGGGAGTTTTCGTAGGAAGACTAATTGCACCGAGCGTACGTCAGATTGGTCTTGACACTTACTGCTAACCACAGCCTCGGCATGTGCATTCACATTGCATGAACGTGTAGCGTGTTGGAAACGGAAAGGTACGGTAACAACATCTCAACCACTATTCTCATCCCCATTTGTGCTCGAACACGTGTCCTCCATGTCGGCATCGTTGTCAAATGGAGTCCTCCATGGCAGCGGGCTCGGTGGCTTCAGTTACAGCTGACAGGCGAAGAATGAAGGCACAATGCAACAGTCAAGGAGGAGTGTCCTCGACGATGAACCACGCATAGGTGGTGTGGAGTGACCTTGGCCGACGCATCCTCCACCCCCTGTCGGTTTGACCATCGGGGTATATCATCCCCAATGGTGTAGCGGCGGTGTGGTGCCATCATGGGCTCTCTCGGGGAATCGACGGACGTGAAGAAGGTGAGAGAGGGAGATGCTAGATATATGGAGGGGGAGGGTGTGTATAAGAGGCGTCGGTGCATGAAAGCGTGTGGTTTTATAGGGCTTGGGTGAGACGAGAAGGTAGGCGACGATGCCCGGAGAGAGACACGTCCAAGGAAGCGGCATTGGCACAGCTTGGCGCCAGCACATGGGATCAGCAATGCGTGCACGGAGAAAGGCAAGGCGTGTCAATGGGTGAAGTGCATGATGGTGCAGGAGACGACGGGGCGGCGATGATTGTTCGGCAGGAAAGGCGAGGAGGTGAGGCATGTCAGGGGGAAAGTACAATTAACCCCTCATCGCAGACGGTTCAGCTTGGTAAACCGTATGCATGACATCTCACATGGTTGCTCGATTCCATCCATGTGCTATTCTTCAACATCGCACACATTCAAACTCAGGCACATTGTTTTTTTTCCAATGGTGTGTAATGTCATCATCACAGATCACACACAATTTCTCGCTATCGTGTGCGACTGAGTAGCTTGAATGGCCGAATCTGTACCATCATAGCGTTGCAACATATATATACTCCCACCAGTTTACAGAAACCCCTGTTTTGCGTATACTTGGATTATAACTTTGATAGCCAATATTTCCCTGCAAAAAGTAATAAAAATCAAATACAGAGTTTCGACTCAGAAATATTTCAGAGAAGCTGCCACCTATACTTGAAGCATACAATTTCAGCATAGTATGCGTGCAGACACGTCTGATACAGACAGGTGAGCACGCATGCGACACTTGACTTTCATATCCGGTTGGTATCAAATACTTCTCAAGAACAAACCTTTCAAAAAGCTAATCAATGGAGAAAAAAAACATCTCACACCCAGATTGAAAATTAGCATCAATTGTAGCCATTTCATGCTATTTTTATGACATGAAAGGGACACGATGAACATGACGGGGGAAATATGTCTAGTCGTGAGCTACCTCAAAAACATTGAAAAAAACAATGAAAAGAAGTATGTCTCAATCAGATGACGTCTTGGCTGACTTAGACTAGTCATTTTGTTTTCTCTCAGCCGTTCATATGCTCGTCTAGGTTGTCTTTTTATTTTATTTTACTTGGCTAGGTCCGTTGTCTGTTGACGGTTGGCTGTAGTTGTTTCTTGTTTGTTGAGCCTTGTTGTATTCTTTGTCTGGTCCGTCTCTCTTTCTCTACTTTGCTCCCACTTTGATTCAAACTATAGTAGTGCGTGTGTTGTTTTCATGTGGGAAACGAGTTGGGTGGGGTGTGTGTGTGTGTGTGAGTAGTTAAAGCATCTTTGTCTCTAATGACCAGTAAACCGGACACCACATCCGTTGCGGACAGAGGATTCCACGGACATGAATTCGGGAAGCGGACATCCAAAGCTCCGCATACATTTAAAAACAAGTTTAAAAAAATCAGACGTATTTCATGCAAGCCCGATGATTTTCGTACAAACCGGGCAAAAGAATTTACATTTCAGCCATACTTTTACTAAACTATACCGGACTAGGCAAAAACTAGTCTGATGCCAGCTAGCGCAGATCTTCACTCCCACGACATATCTTCCCTGGAGACGGCGGCCATCCAAAGCTATGTCAAGGACACGGTGTCGGCCAGCCTAGACGGACGAGGACGGACTGGCGATGGCGGTGGCACCGGATCTGAATGGTTTTCTGGCAAGCCTCGCCAGACAACTCAGGTCACTGCAATGTCGGATAACTCCTTCTACTCATTGCTGGAGGCCATGGTCCAAGTCCAGCCAACCTTTCTATAAACAAATGTAAGATGTTTTAGATTACTAAAGTAATGATCTAAAACGTCTTATATTTGTTTACAAAAGGAGTATTATATTGTGAATATGTATGAATCCAAAGTATCTAAGAATGAGGAGGCAAGAAGCGAGGATGCGTGAAGTGTTATTCGTAACATAGTGAGAGAAGGGGGTTAGTAGGTAGCGGAAAGCAATTCATTGCGGCTAAATGAAATATAGTCATTTAACGCCGAATGTTCTTGTCTGAAGTAATCTTTTGTAACCAGGTAACCCAACGTGGAGGCAAGGCCCGTCGGTTGGACGACTCTTGGTATAGGTCGCGTACCGGTCAAGACATACTTTAGATATATCCCCCACTTAATCGCGTAGCAAGCACATTATCGGTGTACAAAAGTAGGGGCTCTTCTTTTGACCCCTTTACTTGTGCACGGGCAGTCAGAGCCTTCCGCCACGGCCACGCATAACAGGGCAGGGAAGGGAAGCCGGAGAGAAGCCAAAGACACAAGACAGACAGAGCAACGACAAGGACCAAGGCCACAAAGATCAGATGGACGAAGCAGGTTTCCCCGGCAAGGACCTTTGCCAGAGCGGCCCCGGCAAGACCCTTGCCGGGGCAGCTCGCCCTCGCCAGCCGAGCGAGTCACCTTTGAGCCCACCAACGCTAAGCAAACGCGTTGGGACAGGGCTCGGGAGGCACCTCCGTGGTGGCATGCAGATCTTTGTGAAGACAAAGAATAGCCAAGATCAAATGAGGATAGGAAGGCAACCATCCTCACCGAAGAAACCCACAAGACCCCCGGCAAGATCCTTGTCGGGGAAGCCAGCGCGCCACGGCAAGACCCTTGCCGGGCCACCCGGCAAGACCCTTGCCAGGCCACCCGGCAAGACCCTCGCCAAGCGCACCGGCAGGGTCACTGTCAGGCCCGCGCCAGCCAAGTCTTCACCGCCGTTCGCATGCAGCTGTCGACCCAACCAGCTGGGCAGGCACCTACGTGGCAACATGCAGTCCTTCGTGGAGGCTCCACCACCACACCACCTCAGCTGCCTGCCTGCCTACATGGCACCGCATGCACCGCTGGCCGGGGCGCGTGTCGAAACGAGGAGGAGCGGCAACGGACGAGACGGGCCTCGCTCCCGCCCCCGATAAAGTGGAGGGACACCTAAGCTCCGCATTAAATGCGTTTTGTCCTGTAGTACTAGCGATAGGCTCACAACGTTGTAGCACTTTCCACCTCCTGTGTGCCACTGTGGCAGCCCCTTTCGCTTATAAAAGGAGGCCCATGGCACACTGAGAAGGGATTCGGCTCTTTGGAACCCGGCAGCACCTAGAGGTAGTTCGAGAGCTCAAGAACACTAAATACATCCACCAAAGCAGGATCGTAGGGTTTTATGCATCTTTGCGGCCCGAACCTGGGTAAATCCCCTTGTGTTGTCTACTAGTCCCGCTCTTCTCACGGTTCCCGCGCCCCACAACCGTAGAAGGGATTCCAGTGATCCCATAGGTGATGTTTCCCACCGACACACATCATAGCGTTTGTCGCAATGTTCATTATCAAGATGAGATTCCATGCACAAATATAAGGATGTGAGAGTGAGACCCTTTCGAAATGATTGTTAAAGGCCCGCTCAAAAAATTGGAATTTAATTTGATAACAATAGCTTGCTTGACTCTCTTTCATAGTGCACATCCTCTCGTGGGTTTAACCCTATGTCACTCCTTGGCGGAAAGGTTCGGGAACCTTCTGACATCCAAACCGGGATTCCAAATGGCATCATGAAGCGTAACCCTTTATTTCTGTTCTTGTATGCAAAATCCATGCTCACCATGCATGCATCTGTCTTGGTGGCTCTTGTCTATACAGTTTCATTTTTCTCTTTGTAGCCCGATTCTCTACCCCTTCGTGGTGATCGGAACTTTCACATTGCAACATGAAAACTTCATATGTACTAGCATATATTTTTTGGGTACATCACATCATTTCGACATGTTTTTTCATGTTCATGTGTGAGTTATTCAAAGAGTCTCACAACATTCTAAACATGCTAAAACACTATTTTTTTTGATGTAATTATCATGTGTTTTTAACTTTGTTGCAACATGTGGCCTTCATATCCTATGAAAAATGCTATGAACACTTCGCAACAATTTTTAATACATGTAAATAATTTTTTTTGCATGCAACAAAACTTCATTGGCTGCAAAAAAATAATTGTTTTAGAATAGATCACAACAAAGAGCATCTCCAGCCGCGCCCCAACAGCCCCCCCCCCCCAGGCCCCTTTTTGGTGCTGGCGCCCAACAAACGGCTCAATCGCGCCCCTAGGAGCCCATTTTTCGCCGGTTAGGCCGAAACTGGCGCCGGCGGACCCAGGACGAACCCGGTGCTCGGGGGCGCCCCGGGGCGCCAGGGCAATCATTTTTGGCGCGAAAGAATGGCGGGCCCGCCGAGTCAGCGACCCCCGCGCCTCATCGTCCTCACATCGCCTCGGTTTCCCGTGGGGAATCAATGCCAAGGCTGCCGCCGGTCAGCCTTCCGTTGATTCCTCGCGGGCGGCGCGGTGAGGCGACATGCCCCCTCCCGCCACGCGTA